AAGAAACTGGCCAAGAAGATACCAAGAAAGATGAATCAGAGGCAACGGAAACAGAGCAGGCACTAGACCTGCTCTGATACCATTTTAGGATTGGCCCAACACAGTATAAACCCGTACGTGGCCCAACCCATTATATCTCATACGCTGAAAACATATTGGTGATGTCCCAGCCACGCTGGCAAAGTCTGGAAGGTGTGAGATGAGAGAGAACAGAGTGAAAAGAGAGAGCTCTCCATGCGATGAAGCTCCGGGATTTCCAGCGCAGATCCACGGCGGAGGAGACGGTGGTTGACGACGACGGAGAAGAGAAAAGTGAAGAACACAACGTGAGAGGTAAGAAAAGTGTCTTCTTTTCTTATTTTGATATTTTGTCTTAGTACATAGAATCTGTAAGTCTGTGTGTTGTTTCTTACACTGATCCGAGATGGAGAGCTCTATTTATAGAGCTCTGTTTACAAACCATTAAAAGCTAAAAACAAACATAACAGAAAGCAATAAATACAAGGTTACTGTCTTCATTGACAGTAAGGAATCAAACTTGATTCCTAATACATACAAACACATTTATTGTACTTGGACGATTAATTGGTAGAAAAAACACCAGTGGTGGGTTGATTCATAAGCATTCCTAGCCTCTGCCACCAAAACGTCCCTTAACCTTCTTCACTTGGGCAACGTCAAGGAAAGTAGTTTGTGCAATCACGTCAGAAGGTAAGCTATTACCAAACAACAAAAGGTCAAGTAGTTGTGCTCCAGGGTTGGCGCTACTGAAAGCCAGAAATGCAGTGGCTTTTCCCTTTCCAGAGTTCACTTGAAAATGCAGTTGTCCTTGTGGGAAGACCATTACATCTCCTGGTTTTAGTGTCTTCGTATAAACTGCAAATGGTGTCATAAAACCAGCAGTGATTTGACCTTCCACCATTATCAAAAGTTCAGTAGCTCCAGGGTGTGTGTGCATTGGGATTGATCCACCTTTCGCTATGTCTAACCGTGCTGCGGAAACACCAAGACCATTCACACCTGGAAAATCAGTGACAAATGCAGAGGTTAATGCAGCATTGAAAGTGTTTGTGGTGTTTCCCGCTACTAACCCAGAGAACACAAAGTCATCCACCGTCACTGTCTTAGGGGGTTTGCACTGATAGCCTGAAGGGCCATCTGGGCCCTTTAGGTCTGCTACACAGAAATCGTTGACAGCCGCATCGGACGTGCATGATAGAAGAGCCAAGACGACAAAAATGTAAATCATCTTTTTATCTTGAAACTTCGATAAAGGGATTTGGTGTGAAGCTAATGTCGGAAAAGCTAGCTATTTATAGCCCTATTCGTATACTGGACGACCAACTTTGCATATGCAGTAACCAAGAACGAGTTCAATTAATTGATAATATTTTAATATTTTTTTAACAATATTTTAATATTATTTACATTGATTGATTCTTAGTGTATTGATTGTGGAGTAATTTAATATCAATTTACATACAAATTGTGAGACATTCTCCCTGCACCTCACTGTTTTCGTCGTGCACCTCCAAAATATATTTTAATTACAAAGTATACCCTTAAGTACAGTTAACAAGGATATTTTGAATTTTTAAAAGGCTGACTAATTTTGAAACTTGAACTCTGGCGCATCTCACCCTCAAACCCTTCATCCCCTTCTAAATCACTCCTCCCTCCTCCGCCCTCCCTCCTCTCCCATTGTTCTCTCCGGTCCCCTCTGCCCCTCTTTTCTCCTCCCTCTTGTGCCAAGTTGTTTGCGTTTCTCCTTCGTGTTTGATTTCTCACAAATCTCAGGTGCTTTCTAGCGTCCAGGTTAGTATCTTGATAAAATGTAGGTATTTGCTGTCATAAAATATATGCATGTGCTTTTTGAGTTCGCTGGGTGTTGGTGTTGGTCGCCGGAGAACAGCTGCTTAAACGCCAGTGGTCGCAAACTTTCGCATTTGGAAGTGCGGAAAGTAGGGAAACCGCATATCGATATGCGGAGGGTTTTCAGGCGGCTCACACTAACCGCACATCCATGTGCGTTAGTTGTTAGGTTTGATTTCTAGGTTTTTTAATTTTTTTTTAGGTTATATATATTTATTTTATTAGGTTAATTTTTTATTAGGTTAGTATATATTGATTTTATTAGGTTTATTTTTTATTAGGTTAGTATAATAAATTTAATTTTTTTTGTTAGTTGATAAATAAAATGTTTTCTTAATGTATTTTTATTTATTTTATTTGTTTGTTAAATTTTGTTGAATTTGTTATTTTTTAACATATTATTATTTTCGTAATATATTATTTATTATGTATTTAATTTTATTTAATTTTTTATGAAATTGAAATAATTATTAAATTTTTTTATTGAATTAAATAATAATTATCATTTGTAAATTTTGTTAAATATTATTTTAGATTTATTTGTAATTATTTAATTATTATATATGTATTTTTTTGAAATTCGTAGCATAAAACATAATGAAACGCAGTTCAAAGTGCGACAGAAATATATAAAACGCACTTCGATATGCGAGGGAACGCAGTTCGAAATGCAGTTAGAAAACATTGATTAATTAAGTTTTGACTTTTCGTTAAATAAAAGGTAAAGAAGTAAAATTGGGGATGCAGGATGAAGGCAGTTAGGTGTAGGAAGAATCACTCCCAAACTGTTTAGGTGATAACAGTGTGATAACAGTGTAATGACATAACCGACAATATCTAAGTATGATAGCGAATATTAGGTTAAAATATGTAAGTGATGCAGGAATACTACATGATTGTTAAAATTATGTAGGATGAAAATAATTGTAGTTTGTATTTGAGTACTACTAGCTGTAGCAGAGTTACAAATTTACTGTTATATTTTAAAAAGGATTAGTATACCCATCTGATAACACATATCTTCCAAATATTACAGAGGCTATCGTGTGTTGTCTTTTTCCCTGAAAAAGATAAAACATTTCCGTTTTTCTTTAGTTTTAGGTTGCACGCAAAACTCGAGAGTTCTGATTTGATCTGCGTTGTTTATGATATTCATATTTGTATTTAAGAAAAAGACAAGTTTTTATTAATACTAAAACAGTAATGTTGAAGGAATTGGACAAGAATTGTGAACCCTTGAACACTGCTACCACATCACTCTTCTCATTATTGCAGCTTAATGATCACACACACAAGCTGGCGCCATCTCATCGCTCAGAACTTATTTTGTGTTTCCTTGGAATTTTGTGAGAAAGGAAATAATCATTTCCATAGTTTTGGCTTAAAATAATAGTGCAGTGTTTCCAATGGGAATCAAAATATGATTGATATTTTTCCCTCGATCATATGCTTCACGTGTTCTCCTGTCATTCTCATTCCCCCACACCATTTCTATAACTTTCAAATTTCATCTTTATCATTTATGTCTCGTTCATATTTATAACTTAAATTAGTGAGTAAATATAATTATCTAAAACACCAAATTCCTCATAAAACAGTATTTGAATTTATTATCTTTGCTACATGTACGATTTACTTACTACTGAGTTAACACTCCACCAAAGTTATGAAAGTTATGATTCAATATAAATAAATAAATAATAGAGAATGGTGCATACACAATATTAGGTGTTGGCACCTTTAAAAAAACTAATATATTGACACGAGAAAGGTACTACAACATTTAAGTATTTAATATATACCTAGAGAAAGAATAAAAATTATAAATTTATAACTATATACATGGATGCAATAAGAAGAAAAATAAAAGTATACAATAAGTTTAGATAAAATTAAAATGTATATACATCAACTCTAAAAATAATACTAGTTGACATATGGTAAAGAGAGATGAAAAAAATTATAAATAGAATGATAATAAAATAGTAATAATCTAACATCAATGTAACATCAATGGTGTGCAGGTAAATCAGAAATGGAGTAGGTCTTTAGAACCACTTGAAAGAATGACTTTTGGTATAGTAATTTATTGTACTGAGAAATTCAAGATTTAAGTAAGTTAAAACCACATAATGGTATTTTAGATGTCACAATAGTTTAAAAATAATGAAAAATTCAGTTATTTTAATATTAAATAGTTTAATTATAAATAGTTTTGTTATAAATGAGTTTCATTATTTTTAAAATGTATCATCTTTTTAAAAACTATTTTTTTAGAGCTCTCTACCTTTTCTTTAAGTTGTGTTTGTAGTATAAATTTTGTATTTCTATGATTTATAGACGTTTTAGTGAAATTGTTATGACTGGGTAAATGTTATGTATGTTAAATTGATGTTTTGATAATATGGTGTTGTGTACAATTGGTGTGATGAAATGGTGATGTTGGATACTCTTATAATTGTGTATGATAATGATGTTTCATTGTTTAAAACTGAATTCAAATGGTTGTTGAAAATATTGATTAAGTCACTTGGGTTCAAGCTTAAAAAGAAGGGGTTTTGGTTAGTAAAATTGAGAAATAGATATGGAAGTGTTATAGTAACTGATTTGGTACTGTCATGATGTAAATTATGACTTGTCTGAGGGCTAGATGGTTGAAAAGTATTATGTAGCAAAGGGAGGGTTTGTAGTTGAAGTTTTCAAGTGTTTTTGGTGTAAAAAAGAGGTTTTGAGTAGTGAGATTTTGGAATAATGAGTATAAACTGTTTTGGAAGGTTATATGTCTATTATTATATCTATAAGGACTTGTTTAGGAGCTAAAACTAGTAAAATCTGTTATGGAAGTGTTCATAGCTTCATAAGTTAAGGTTTTAGTCTATTTTAGAGGCTTTAAGGGTTGAAAATGAGAAGTAGGATAGCTAGAACAAGTATAAGGTTATAGAGAGTGCTACAAATGTATTTAGACTTGTTTATACAAGTTCTAAACTGATATGAATGTTTAAATGTGTAGAAATGAAATTGAGTAGCTTATAAGAGTGAATTTGGGGTTTTAAAGTGTTAAATTGAGTTGTAGCAGTGTTTTCAGAGTTTCCTCAAGGTTTGGAGGGTCTTAGGGGTCTTTAAAACTTGTGGGGGTAAGTGTAGGAAGTGATATGGAAAAGTATGGTATCTTTTGACAACGCTGAGCTCTCAAATTTGGTGTTGGGTGCCCATTTCCAAAGGCACCAGCACTCAGTGCTATTGGGCAGCATAACACTAAGTTTCGGGGGGTTTTCAGGGTTCTACATGTCCGTTTTGGACATTCTTTAGGTCGTTTTGGACCCTTCTGGAGCTGTTGGTGAGGGTTTCAAAAGTGTTTTTTGACCAAAATGTGACTATCAAGATGCCATGAAAAAATTGTGTGATTTTTGATGACTTGTATGAGTGTTTATTTTTCTTTAATGTATGATCAGTAGTTTCATGTATTACTGTACTATGTAAATGTGAGCTTTTCTCAATGGTTTCAAAGGTATGGAAGAGAGTTTCAAGGAGGAACTTTTCACTGGTGGTTTCAAGTATTGTAAGTATGAATATAGGAAGCTCAATCTTTGAGTTTATCCTAACATTCTAATGGTCACCCATTCTCAAGTAGAGAGGGGTGAGGCATGTCGTGAAAATAGCAGAGGCAAAACGGATATCGACATCCGTTTTCCCTTAAATGGATGTTGACATCTGTTGACAGATGGTCTCATCCGTTTAAAGATTATACAATTACTTTTTAGGATTTATTATGCACCTCCTTCACGACGAATCTTCCCACACCACCGTACCCCACCACGCCGATCTTGCACGTTGATCAATTGCTTCCACCACCACTTACAATCTCGAGTACTAACTAATTAAAGTCCACCATACTCTCAGACCACAATTAGAATGAGAAGAAGAAGTGTGAAAATGAAGAAGAAGAACATGAAACAAAAAGAGGAGGAAGAAGAGTTCCCACTTTGTGTAGGATTATAGTTGAGGATTAGAGTGTGTAGATTTTAAAAAGGATTAGAGTGGTTAGAGGTTAAAAGATATTAACCCTAAAATTTTATTAAGGGTAAAATAGGAATGGAAAAATAAAGAGGAGGGTAAAAAAAAAATCGGATGGTGAAGGGAGCAAAGTGTGGTAGTGGAGAAAGCAACACCCGAAAGTCTTCGTGTTCCACCAAAAACCTGATCCAACAGCCCATCTTGCATATGACCATCTATGAAGACCCTCACATACAACACCATATAGAAAATATATCCAGTTTGATCCAAAACTAAGCTTTACTCCTATATAATAAATAAATTTTAAACTTAATTTAATTTTACAAAATCAGTTTATAAAATCTTATTTTTCTTTTATTATAAAATTGTTTTATTTTTAGTTATAATATTCAAATTCTGCATATATATTTTGAGTGAGTGTGAAATATTAATAAGTGATATAATAGTAGATAATACAACAAATCCAATAAACAATAAATTTTAATTTTTTTAAGCTAAACTCTAACTCATTATTCTAGTTAAGAACTAAATATTAAAATTAATTTAATTTTATAAAACCAAACAAATTTTAATTCTTAATCAAAATATATAAAAAAAACTCTTAAGACTAATAAATAAAAAAGTAACAAAAAAAAAATAACAAATTCGACACATTCATATTCGTAATTAACACATACTCAACAAATAGAATAAACAACATAAATACAAATCGAAAAGAAAAACATAATAAATGAGGACAAAAATATTTCTACCAAGAGATTCAATAAAAAGAACTTGTCAAAACTCTTAAAAGAGAAACTCCATTATGTTAAGAAAAAAAAAGAATTAATAGATGAGAAATCAAAAAGAGATAAAAAAATAAAGATAATATTGATTAGACAATAATGATAATAACCAATCACTTTTCTTTAAAAAAAAAATTATAATTTATTGATTTTTTTCACTCATTAAATATAATTTTTAATACCAATAAAAATTATTGATAATAGTTTAATTAAATTTTATTAACAGATATAAAATTATAATTAATTTAATAGAGATATATTAATATTTAAAAGAAATTTTTTTCCTTAAATATAATTTTATAATTAATTTAATAGAATTATATTAGCACTGAAAAAAATGGAGTCATTTTTTTCTTAAACAAATATTAATACTAAAAAAATTGTATTTTTTTTTTTACCTAAAACAAGTATTTTAATCAGCTCTGCATTTGAACTGGATCTGTAACAACGCATGCAAAGGTTAAAACATAATTGAAGAGTTGATAGAATTTTAGAACTGAAAGTAAAATCCTCAAATCATAAAGCTTGGGATCAAATATAAATATACAAGAAAACACTCATACAAACAAATTTACTATACTTGTAGTTGGAAGAACAAAGACGAAGGGTGATTTGATTCATAAGCATCCCTAGCCTCTGCCACCGAATCGTCCCTTAACCTTCTTCACTTGGCCAACTTCAAGGAAGGTCGTTTCTGCAATCAAGGCAGAAGGTAAGTCGTTACCAAACAATATAAGGTCAAGCAATTGTACTCCAGGGTTTGCGCTACTGAAAGCCAGAAAAGCAGTGGCTTTTCTCTTTCCAGAATTCACTTGAAAATGCAGTTGCCCTTGTGGGAAAACCATAACATCTCCTGGTTTCAGTGTTTTCGTATAAACTGCAAATGGTGTCATAAAACCAGCTGTGATTTGACCTTTCACCATTATCAAAAGTTCAGTGGCACCAGAGTGTGTGTGCATTGGTACTGATCCACCTTTTTCTATGTCTATCCGTGCTGCGGAAACACCAAGACCATTCACACCTGGAAAATCAGTGACAACTGCAGAGGTTAATGCAGCACGGAAAATGTTTGTGGTGTTTCCAGCTACAAAGCCAGAAAACACAAAGTCATCCACTGTGACGGATTTCGGTGGCTTGCACTGATAACCTGAAGGACTATCTGGACCCTTTAAGTCTGCTACGCAGAAATCATTGACAGCCGCATCGGAAGTGGATGATAGAAGAGCCAAGAGAACAAAAATGTAAACCATCTTTATCTTGAAACTTCGATAAAAGGATTTGGTGTGAAGGTAATGTGGGAAAAGCTAGCTATTTATAGCCCTATTCGCGTAATGGACGACCAACTTTTTTATGCAGTAACCAAGTTCGAGTTCAATTTTATTATATATATATATATATATATATATATATGAAACGTTGTTTGTTAGAGTATTAGACAAATAATAGAAAAATAATAGGAAAATAATCGTCTCAGTTGATTGGTAGAAAGATTAAATGACAAAAACTAAATTAAAAAAATATAATTTTTTTAATACTCAATATACAATAAAAGTTTCACAAAAAATAATCAAATTTAATTAAGCCTAAGATATATACTGGAGAAAGAAAAGAGGATATTGTGTGTTGTCTTTTTCTGTGAAATATATAGAATGATTTGAATGTTCCTTAAGTTTAGTTTGCACGCTTAAAGGGAGTTTTTAATTTTAGTTACGTTGTTTGTGTTTTAATATTTGTATGTAAGAAAAATAAGTTTTTGTTGATACTAAAGAATAATGTTGACTAAAGAGTACTCTATCTGTTAAGTCTTAAACAGAAATATTAGTCTCTTCGTCCACCATTAACCCACGCTATCTCCTCTCTCATGATTGCACCTTTATTTTATACAATTATACATTACTATTTTATTTCAAAAAAATATTTTTATTCATTGTTATTATACGAATATGATATTATATATAGTTAAAAGGACCATAAAATGATTGTTTAAAGGAAAATAATTAGTTTGATGCACTTTGATTTGACACCTATTTTCATTTTTCTAACAGTAAAAGAGCGTGAAATGAGTGTAAATTAAAGATGTACTATGGAAGTGGTAAGATTAAGAGTGAAACGCAGTTAATTGCTGACAATGATTATTGGAAGGAATACAGAGACGAACGCAGAAACAAGTTTATTGCAGAAGACGATTCATTGTCAGAAGGAAAACACAAAACCTAGCCGGTGCCATTGAAACGAGCCTTGAGCATCCTGACTTGGGCTACATCAAGGAAGCTAATCTGGGAAAATGGTGATGCTAGGGACGTCGTTGGTGAACAGTTCTTCATAAAGAAAACGAAAAGAAGGGTTAGGGCAACTAAAAGCGGCAAAAGCAACGGCTTTCCCACGACCAGAATCGATAAGATAATGCAGCAGTCCTTCTGGAAAAAGGATAACATCTCCCGGTCTAAGTGTATTGCGAAAAGCTTTCCGAGGTGTCAAGAGTCCAACATCAATTTGAACTTCAATCACCACTATACTATTTCAGTTGCATCATGATCATGCACTGGAAGAATTCTACCTTCCGGGATCTCTACAATTGCTCCAGAAATTCCAAGACCGTTGAGTATAGGATACTGAGCAACAGTTGCAGGGAATACTAGAGTGTTGGGTGGGACTAGAATGCCTGCTTTTCCATTAAAGGTGTACTTAAAGTCTGCAGCTGTTACTGTTTCAGATGGCAGGCAAGGATAGCCAGAAGGGCTGTCTGGACCGTTGAGGTCAGCCTTGCAGAACTTTTCCGGAAAAGAAGCATAAGTGGACGAAAAAAGAACACAAAGTAAGATAATCACAATCCTGTTCATCATCTCTTTTGATGAATTCATGAATCTATTAGAACAAAAGAGGGATTGTGAGACTCGATTGGCTACCTAATAGTTATTTTTACAACAAAGTCAAAGATAAAAGTTTTGTCTGCTATCAATTAAGTTCGATTTAGTCTGGTTGACGATCAACTATTTTTATTAACAAAATAAATTTGAACTAGTTAGCCACGGATTGGTATTAAGTTGATTCATTAACTTATTTAATTATAATTTTTTTTAAATATTAAAAAATTAATTTTTTTTAAATTCTAAAAACAATTCAAAATAAAAAAGTATTAAATAATCTAAATGTAATCTAAAAACAAGCACACAAGGTGAACAAATAATAAGTTTCTAAAATTGATCATTTTTTGTATCACTTGTCTATTTATAATATTAAAATCTTGAATAGATAAATTTATAATATTTTTCCTCCTTTAAAACATATTTTCTCTATCCAATCTACAAGTATCAAAAAATGATATTTTTTTTCAAACTCAACTTGACAAATTAGTACGTGAATTCTAACCTATTTTGGCATCACTAATTTTTGCACAAATTATCATATGTAGGTCGTGTATTTTTTTCCTTCAAAAATCTCACTTTCACACCTTTTACCATAAATGTTTTCATTTTATAACCCATTTTAATAATATATATATA